TTTTCTTTACTTCCAGCACTTCCAACAACATAGCAGCCTGTCAACTTTGCGAATTGCCCAACAAGCTGACCAACAGCACCCGCTGCAGAGGACACGTAGACATATTCTCCTTTCTTAGGAGAGCAGACCTTATAGAACCCCACATAAGCAGTCAGACCAGGCATACCTGTAATAAGCAGAGGAAAAAGCAAAAATAATGCACCCAAATCCAATCCAAATTGTCAGGTCAATCAAATTTACTTACCAAGAATTCCTGTATAATATGAAAAAGGTACATCAGTATGCTGAATTTTGATGAGTGTTTCGGGTGCTTTAATAACAGAGTATTCCTCCCATGTGGTTACTCCCCAAACCAAGTCCCCTTCCTTGAAGTCCCGGTGGCCTGATTCCAAAACTTTAGCCACTCCAATTCCAGAAACTGGCTGCAAGGTCAACCATTTTTTTGAAAGGAAAAAAACATAAGCACAATTCTAAGACTTTGGCTTTTAGAAAAATAGAAGAGACAATAACACTTACAGAGCCAGGAGTGTAGGAAGTCGTGTAGGAAGTGATGACAAAACCAGAACTTTCGTCTTGGGGTTTCATCAAGTTTCGCATATAAGGGTCGCATGATAAGTAAAGGTTCTTCACAAGAACTGCTCTTGAACCTTCTTGCAGTTTCAGTTTTACGGTGCCGGTAGTGACTTGCATATCTGATTCTTTCGGAAAACCGGAGACGAAATCCTTGAATATTACCCGCTTGTTACCGACCAAGGCTTCTTTCTCACTGGAACCCGCCATTGCAGCTTAACTAATCTCCACCTCTCTGTGTAGAGTGCAGAGTTTGGTGGCATCAACCTCTGTTTATATGGTGGTGTCTCTGCTGCTTTCAAGTGCCGTGGCGTGTTTGATTTTGGGTGCATTTGGAATCGTGCTGTGATTGTAGTTATGGATGTATTTAATTATGGTTATAACGTTGTCAAAATCGAGATTTTACTTAAAATTGTTTTGGTTAGGTGAAATCGAAATCGTAAAATCAAATCGGTAAAATTGAGATTTTACAAAATTTAATATATAATATATAATAAATTATATAAAATCGAAATTAAATAACAATAAATCAAATTTAGAGTTAGAAACTTGAAATTAGCTAATTAAAATCTAAATATCCAACAATACAAATAAATTAAACAAGAAGATGACTTAAATTTAGAATTTTAGATGGTTAAATCAAATTTGTCCCGAATTCCAGATTAAAATGTTGATTTGTGGTTGGGTTGTGTGAGTTATAGGCTTTTAAAATGAAAAATGAGCTTAATTTATGGGTTATCTAGTCAAAACTCACTAAACTAAGATGAGAAACCCAAAAGGAAATAGGTTAAAAGTCCAGTTGCCAAACAGAAGGTAAAATCGAGATTTTATCTGATTTCACCTGATTTCACGGTAAAATCTAGATTTTACCGTGAAATCCCCAGATTTTATGAATTTCAGATTTTAGTATAGATTTTACACGAAATATCTTGCTGAAATCGTAAAATCATAAGATTTTAAGATTTAAATCTAGATTTTGACAACAATATAACTATAGTTATATTTAGTTGTGTCTGAAAGTTATTTTAGTATTTAATTATTTATTTTTTAAAAGAATTATAAATGAAATATGATATATTTTATTAATTATTAA